AAAGGTTGGGCATGACTCAATGACTGCATTGTTTAGCAATGGAAGTTCCAGTCCCAATTGTGATCATAAGTAGAGGACTAGTGTAAGTAAACACAATTTATATGTTTTCCTGCATGCTTGTACATACACAAGCTTATGTAAATAGATATGTGTATTGTAGATAGTATACAATCTATCTTTCCAAAAACAAAGCATTTTGGAGAACTCTGGAATCTTCTGTTTCTCCTCAGAGTCTAAACGACTGGTTTAAACAAAGTTTAAACAATGATTGGTTTAAATAAAATCAAAACAAAACATTAAAATATAATATATATGTTGTGAGAGAAAGGAAAGATGGTAAGGGTTGGAAAAAGAAAATAAAACAAAAACAAAAAAGGCAGATCACGAAAGAATGGGAGTTAGCATAATGAGAATAAGTCAACTGGTCACAATGAATTCAATATCATTACTACTCAAGAACAGACTGGGGTAATGAATGTCAATGTGAAAGAAAGTTTTTAGTCATCTTTCTCTACACAAAAAAACTGCAGAGATAACTTTAAGAATTATCTTAAATTGATTATCACTGATTGGGGAGTATTCCTAATTCCTCCCTTATCATATCACCAAGATGTTTATGTAAGCATGAACAGTTACTTTCAGTAGCAGTTATGCAAGGCTCTGTTCTTTCTAATGCTATGGAACTAATGAACTAAATATCAAAGGGAGGACTTCACAAAAGATTTTGAATCAGAAAAGAGCAATTCAGAGACACTTGTCTTAAGTGAGTTTAAAACCTGAAAAATCTTTAATTGTGTTTGGGATTTTCCCCAAGTTGAAGCACACTCCTGTTCCAATGATACATATTTAATCCTCAAATCCAGCTTTCTGACTTACAGGAATCTAGACCCAATATGCCCTCATGAATAAATATTAGAAATGCATAATCTATTGGACAACTACGTAGTTAGCAGTTTTAAAATATCTATACAGTTTTCCAATAGAACAGAAATAGCAAAATTTGTAGGCTGGAATATTTATCCATAAGACACTGACCTTATGCCTGATTTTAGTCACTTCTGGAGATTTGGGAGTTATTTCTTTTTTTTATTTCAATAACAACAACAGAGTTGGAAGGGACCTTTGAGGTCTTCTAGTCCAACCCCCTGCTCAGGCAGGAAACCCTATACCATTTCAAACAAATGGTTGTCCAGTCTCTTCTTAAAAAATTCCAGTGTTGGAGCATTCACAACTTCTGGAGGCAGATTGTTCCACTGATTAATTGTTCTGTCAGGAAATTTCTCCTTAGTTCTAGGTTGCTTCTCTCTTTGATTAGTTTCCATCCACTGCTTCTTGTCCTGCCCTCAGGTACTTTGGAAAATAGCTTGACTCCCTCATCTTTGTGGCAACCCCTGAGATATTGGAACACTGCTATCATGTCACCCCTAGTTCTTCTCTTCAATAAACTAGACGTACCCAATTCCAGCAACTGACATTAGCCTTTATGTTTTACCAGATACTGGTTTGCACTTAATAGTATAGAATCAAACTGTTTGTCTCAGAACAGGAAACAGAAAAAGAAAAATTATAACAAGTACTATATGGCTTTCCTAGGACATGGGCTTCATTTCAAAATTACTCTGTTCAGAGATAGTAAAGATCTGGCCATCAGAGTAGTACATGTCCCAAATCTTGTTGACAATCATCTTTTAAACATAGACAATTAAAAATTATAACTTACTTGTCATTGACAAATGAATACATCAGGAGTCGCTCATCAATAAATTTCTTCCATTCTGGCTTTTCATTAGCTAGATCTCTGTAATTATCATTAGATACAATTATACCATCTGACTCAAAAGCCAACTTCACTATGAATCTGTCGTCATAGCATACCACCCTTCTCCCTTGAACTCGACGTGATGGCGTGAATACCAGAATTTTCTCTTTTTCTAATTTACGCAAGATTTCTTGATCTAGAATATTGAAATTGAAAAGGGAAACACAAAATAGAACACTGAAATTCACTTAATTCAGGTTATCTAGTTCTACCCTATTACCTACAAACACACACACACACACACACACACAAACACAGAATAACAAATTCAGATGACTTGGCTTAATAAAAGCAAATATTATTCTAATGGAAGCAGATAGTTACAATTCAGCAATACATAAATATATAAACTGCCTTTACTCATGACCTCAACAATTGTGCTTACGGCCAGATGTTTCTACATTTAATTCCAATAATCTGCAGTAAGACTTGTACTAAATTAAAAGACTGGAATGTTATGTTTTCTATACTTTAAGAATATGTTTGGTTATTAAACACATAGTTATAATGCTATATTATATTTCCAATATCTGTAAACATAATTTGAGCAATTTCTCTTAAAGATACATCCAACCGAGGGCATAGTAAAAGGCAAATTCTTGATTAGCCCTTAGATAACAAGACTGAAAAAGAAAAGTTTCCAATAACTTTTGAACTATTTGAATATCAACTTATATTACAGACATAGCCTTTCCCAAGCATTTGAGGCAATTCGAGATGATGCCAGCTGAAATACATTCAGTTACTAATTCAGGATTTAGAAAAAAGGGCCTTGCTTAATAATGAAGTGGTTGCTGATAGCTTTGGGAATCTGCAGAAACATATTTGAATATTCATTTTTGTCCTAAACAGTAACAGTTTTTATAACATTTAATTATATTTCACATTTTATTTGAAGATACAAATCTTTTCCAAGGAGGTTACAAGCAGCATCTGAATATATATATATATATGACATAACTGCAAATTAAGTCATCAAGCCACATACTTTAATCAAATATTGTCTAGGTAAACATTTTTTCTGCTTAGAATATTGATAGGTGACAAGATACAGAGTCAGCATCAGCTCTGAATCTAATTTTTATCATTTAATACAAAATTAACCTCTAAGAGTCCCTTTTATTTGTAAACCTCCAATAAAAAGTTAGGGCAATAGATCTGATATATAGTAACAAATCTTAGATTGTGACTCTAAGATACAGGTATTATTAATATACGAACATGAGGTGACAAGCATTAAAAGATATTGAACGCAGACATTCATAATAATCAGTATTATCAACTGAAAAACAGACATCCTATGGCAAATGATGAAATATTTCATACAGGTAAACCTTGCTTAAAGACTGCCTTATTTAGCGACCATTTGTCATCCATTCAATCTTATGACTAAACCACTTTTCTGTGTCACTCACTTTTGTATTCACATTCAACATCCATTTAAGCTTGATTTTACTATATTTTCTTGTTTTATTATACATAATTAAGTGCTCCAGACACATTGCACTCAATTTATTTCTATGTCTCTCCTGACATACCCAATTCTCTCTTCTATATCAAACTAGACAATACTACGTTCTTATACATAATTTTAATTTTTTTTGAAAAACATTCCTTCCTCACAACAGAATACGTACTATCCATGACATATTATTTAGAGAGGCACCAGGAATTTGCAAATTCTGATTTAAATTGATCTAAAAACATCAATTCAGAGTATAAATTGTAATACAAACACCTGTCGGGTTTCCATTTTTCATATATTGAAATGCAATTCTACATCAACATGTATTAAATATATGCTTTTTGAGAACAAATATTATACTAAATATGTATTTTGGGTGCAAAGTGCTTAGACTTATGCATGAAAATGAAATAGTATTGAAATGGGCACCAAAGCACCTGAAGGCAGGACAAGAAATAACAAGTAGAATATCATTAAACGGTGATCCAACCTAGAACTGAAGAGAAATTTCCTGACAGTGAGAACAATTAATCAATGGAACGACTTGCCTTCAGAAGTTGTGGGTGCTCAGTCACTGGAGGTTTTCAAGAAGATATTGGACAATCATTTGTCTAGAATGATGTAGGTCTTCTGCTTGAGCAAGTGGTTGGATTAGAAGATCTCTAAGGCCCTATACAACCCTGTTATTCTATGTTCTAAAATATTTTGATTAAAGCAGTCCTTAAAATATTTACTCACATAGAATAAGCAAGATCAAAATTGTCATAGATTTTACAAAAGAAAATGCTGAAAGCTGATCAAAATATACCTGTAATGAGTGCATCTGGTCGTGACTGTTCTTTTCTCCATGCTGGAACAAACACTGTGACATCTTTGTGTCCTCTTTCCAAAAACCAATCCACGGCCAGTTTTATCCCACGACAAGAGAATACTTCTTTGTTTCCATGGCTGAAACAGATGTCCTAAATTTACTAATCTACATTATTGTAACTACCACTGTTTCATATATGTATGAATGGAATCTACTTGCATTCTGCCCTCATAAGCACAAAGCACTCCAAAGTAATTAACGAAAGCTAAGTGTGGCATTTAAAAACTCTCATAAAATAATAAATTGCCTGTAAATTTGTATGTGGCATTACTTTGACAAATGTTACTCCAAATCAATTATATTTAAGTATTATGAGTAAATTTTACATATTTTCAAACTACATGGTTAAGTATTTAATTTCAGTTTAATTTATATACAACTGATGCAATACATCTCCTAATAGCTAGATCAAAATAAGCTACTTAGCAGAGAGTAATAGTAAAAATGGCGGCCAAATAAACCAAGACATGATTTTGATGTTTGAGAACGAAACACAGTTATCTCTCTCATATAAAAACTGGAATATAATTGTTTCATTAACAGTTAATAGCATTTCAAACAAGAACTTTGAAATGCAAAGTATAGTTATGACTATAACTGTTGCATAAAAGACAAAAGTACAAGGATTTCAGTTTATCATCATGTCTGAGATATACCTCAACAAAAGAGAGAAAGTAACATGGTGCTGAGGAAGCACATATAACTGCTCCTTGGATTATTTTCTAAATAGCCAGCTCTTTTTAATCTGTAATTTTCTCACCCTTAGTTGCACAAGATCGTTCTTAACTTTATAATTGGGTATTTTTTTTATCAATACTTTCATATTACAGTAAATGAAAAAAAGAAAGAAGACAGAGAGTAGCTCCAAGTACATTCATTATTTCTTCCATTCACCATAAGAATTAGACTTTCAGGGCCCTTTACTTCATCAGCTGCCATTAATCAGCAACTGCATTGCTTAAAGAGAGTCAGAAGGAGAATTTCAACACAACTGAAACCAAAGACTTTTTTTTTGAGACTAATAAGCAACTAGAAAAAAACTTTGCTTTTATTAATGACAACTCCAGCGAGGCTATTACATGTTCAAAACTGGGAAGGCTTGACACTACCTACAACAGAGGAATCTTTCCAAAACAGGTACTTTATGAAGAGAAAAATATTTCAGTTCTGGTTACACCATACCACCAAATTGTCACCACCGTAAATTCAAAAAGGAAAACTGCAAAATATCCTGGGGACAATGTCCCAATGTGTGATGTCTCCCTTGGACGATTCCCCAGATACCTCCTTAGATGTCAGCTCAGGGGAAGATGAGCTAATTCCTGGCACATCAGGAACTGATTTGATTGATGACTCTGAATGGCCATCCAGAAGGAATTTAGCTGAGGCTCCAGCTAGGGAAAGCTTGCAGTGGTTGATGGCCAGCAAAGAGGAGGAGGAACTGCCTTCTGTGCCTGATCCAAGAACACGTAGGGCAGAGAAAAGGCAGGAGCAGAGGCGGCCAGCCAGATTACTCGAGAGGAGAAAGCCTCATCTGTCTTGATGGGATGCACCGGAAGCTGGCTATTTATCACACCAGACAGATGGAGGTGTTACTGGGAACATGTTTGTTTTCTAGCTGTGTGTTTGATCATCGTGATTCCTGCTTCATTCTGCATTGACACCATGTTTGGAACTGAATTGTGCCTTGGAAACTCTGAACTTTGCTTGCCCTGTGAGCTGTCTTGTGTGTGGATTTAAGTTTTGCCTGGTGGGTTTAAGTTTGTCTGGTGGAGTTATTTTGCCCACTTCTACAACCGGATGCAAACACTGTGGTAGTTCAGGCTTCTGGTTTTGCGCAGTTATTGCAACAGCCGAGGGATCACAGGGCTCCATGCCCTATGGCTGATTTCTCTCTGTTTGGGGACCCTAAATGGGCCCAAAGACACCCCAGAGAGGTGGCAAGGGAGGAGGGAAGCCCCGACGATCATGGGAGACGGTGGTCGATCCAGATGTCCGGGGAAAGCCCTCCAGAAACCAACAGAAGAAAGGCTAGTGTCATTTGTGAGTCTAGCCCAAGCTACATGCAGCTGAAGACAAAAACCACTAAATTAAGTGTGATCGTAAACAGTGTGACTGAACTGGGTAAGAATATTGATTCTCTCTCTTCTACCTGACTGATTTCCTAAAAAAAGAGAAAAAAACCCGAAATAAAAAATTCTCAGAAAGTGAGGGAAGGAGGTTTGCTCTACCCCTCTCTAAACGGAAGTGGAGAATTAAATTTATGGGGAATAAAGATACAAAAATAAAATTAATATAAGATTTAAACCTGGAAAATGTGAAATCGATGGAATTTATTAAGAGTTTCCTGGCAAAGGATTATTGACAGAGATAAAAGGCTTATTTGTTTTGAAAATTGAAAGATGGACTGGAACTGACATCTAGTGGTGGATGAAAATACTGGCCTAAATATACAGCCCAGAAAAAAAACCTGATATTGTGATTTTCAAAGCCTTAACAGCTGTAATAATAATAAAAAAGAGAACACTGTGGACTATCTACAAAGTGAGAACTACAAAACTTAGAAAAAATTGACCTTCCTGGATTATAAAATATTTTTTAAACTGTCACTTTAAAGCGACTGGCAGAGAAAGGATTTTTGGTCATTATAGAGCATCAGAGGTCTGCAGAAAGAACATACCAAGAAAAAATAAACACTTTCCAGGAGGAAATGTATGTTATGTTACAACAATTACAAATGACAGTAATTTCAAACCATGAGGAAATTAAAAATGATTTTGAAAACTTAAATGAATGCATCTTTAATTTAACATCACAACAAATAAATGATCAGAAAACAAAAAGAAAGAGAGATCATGTAAAGCAGACAACTGAATATAAATTAGTGGAAAGAAATTTAGAGATGGAGACTCAAGTGGAGAAGACTTACAAGAAACACTGGACATGGAAAAGAAAATTCTAAGACCACAAAATAAATTTGAGGACAAGAAAAAAGATTTGACAAGATGGATTGCAGAGCTGTTGGGGGTACTACAAGCAATGGGGAGACAAGAGATGATGAGAGAAATTTTCAATGAATATGAAGGGGCAAAATCTCTACACAAAGACATGATGTTTGATTTGCCTCTTATATTTACAACATCTACAAGATTATGAAAAGACTCTTTGATTCAACGGAATAGATTGATTGGGAAAGATGTTTGGCAAAAGGAGAGGGCTAAAGTGAGAATTGAGGAATTAGATGACGGGGCATATCAGAGGGAATACTTAAAAATTAAACACTTGTTCGAATATGGTTAAAGAAATAGAAAGATTTTAGTTTAAGAAGGATGAATATCCCAAGTAAGATAGCATTTTTTTCTTTCTTTTTTTCTTTTCTCTTTTTCTTTTTATTAAAAAGATTTATTAAATGGAACATCTCAAGATTAAACATAGGTTTAATTATGGGTAAAAAGAACAGAAAAAAAACTTGGAAATATGGGATATGTATTTTAAGTAGTATATTATTTTCTTATTCTTTTCTTCCTTTTTTCTTTTTTCTTTTCTCTCTTCTTTTCTTTCTTTTTATTTTTCTTTGGTGTCTTTTTTCCTTTACTTTTTAAGATATGAAAATAGACTTAAATACTTAAATGTAACCTTGAGAATTTTTTAGCCAGTAAAAATGTTTTGAACATTGTAGGGAAAACAAATTTAAATAAGAATTGTAAACAAGGTTCATGATGAGGCAACCAAGATGACTAGACAGAAAAGAAGCATGATCTTGATGTGATTATTATTGGTAGAAAATTCAGAAAAAATATTTAAATTGTTACCTATTGAATTAATAAGAATTGTATTAATTCAAGGTTGGCAAAGAGAATATTATTGGAAGAAGAGGAAATGAAGCAAAGCTATTATGTGGACTTTGGAATATAAAAACTGATTGTTAGTGATTACTTTGTAAATATAAGCCCAGACAACACACTGTTTACCAAATATTAAGGTATTTATGTTAAAAAATTAATAAAATATATTTAAACTAACACTGTGGTAGTTTAAGCCTCCTTCTTATATATTTGAACTCAATAGGGATCATACAACAAAATGGGAAAGAAAAAGGAATAGTTCACTGCTTTAATTGTTATAGTTTTATTAACATTTTTCTGCACTCAGTATCTCAGTTACAGATACAGATAATTCCTTAATTTAGGAATTAATGAAGGAACTCAGGAAGAGTGTAAAATAATGAATCCTCTCCCCTTATATCTGATTAATTTTTGGAACTAATCTCTCTCAAATTATATCATGGAATGTTAGTACTTGAACTGCCAAGTTAAATGATTCTGCCTTTCCAAATTAATGGATATATTATTCTTTTACAGGAGACATGGAATAATATGAATACAAATCATTGCCTCTATATGCTCTCCCAGGAAATGGAGAAAGATTGTATATGTGTTTGTTTCTTTAGCATTAGAAATATTAGAACTGCCCCCTTTGGAAATATGCAATGTCAGTATTATTACCTTTTAATAGCTTTGTTATTAATTCATGTATATACAGTACATTCCCTTATGCACTCATTTGTTGATTAATGAAGCAGGGTATAATTAAAAAAAACACCCATTCCTATCATTTATGTGGGCTGTAGCCAATTGCTCATATGATAGTGGCAAGGGACTGTAATGCAAGAATTATATTTAATAAGCATTATAATAATAATAAAGTTGGAAGGGACCTTGGAAGTCATCTAGTCCAACCCCCTGCTCAGGCAGGTAACCCTATACCATTTCAGATAAATGGCTGTCCAATCTCTTATTAAAAACTTCCAGTGTTGGAGCATTCATCGCTTCTGGAAGCAGGTTGTTCCACTGGTTAATTGTTCTAACTGTCAGGAAGTTTCTCCTTAGTTCTAGGTTGCTTCTCTCCTTGATTTATATGAAATTTCATAGTCCCCCCCCTCCCCGATTTTATAACTGCATCTCCTACCATTGCATCAACTGAAAGATCATATTGTGAACCTACAAAGACTGTGTACGATGCAATTTTTGAACAGTTTAGATTGAACAATGCATTGGATACAGGCTAGCCAGCAGTA